TGTGTGTGTGTAGAGGAACGATCAATTGCACACCACCCTCATTTGTGAAAACTTTACAAATCAATCTCATTCATTCATTTTTTTTTTATCAATGGTCAAGATTAAATGTGTTTATATTTAGAAAAACAAAAATAAAATAAAATAAAAGTTTATTTTTTAATTAAAAAGGGGCAAATTTATCAAATCCCTAATGATTTTGTAAACGAGATAACAAGATCGTGGATATTCTAACATTAATGAAACAAAATCATTGTTTTAAAATCTCTATATATCATTTTATCATTATAAAGATTTTAACCAAAAATGTTAGAATAATCTAAAAAATTATATGTTTGATAATAATTATCTTCATTTTATGACTAAATATTATAAATATAATAACATTCACATTAAAAATAGATCCAAGTAAGAAGCAATAAAACTATGTATATCCTAATAAATTATGAAACATAAAAACATACTTTAATCAACAAAAAATAATAAAACCTTTTGAATACTAAAGAAAATATTTTGTTTCATTAAATGAATGAATGAACTGTTTCACCGTTTATTGAATGAACTCACGTGACTCCTTGTCACCTACAATGAAAGATGGACCATTTGACATGTAGTAGTGAACGATATATGAAACTATTTCATTAACGGTTATTGAAGTAGGATTGGACTCTTAATAATTTCTAATCAAACTAATTCTAAAACAAAGGATATGTTAAAAAGATATATTCTTTCTTTCCAATCTTGACTTATTGACTTTGACTAACTTCACTTTGAATGTCCTGGTTTGTTATTGTTGTAACAGATTTGGGTAGAAATTGTAAATTAGTCAAAGATGCTGTTGGTTAACRATAAGAGGGACTGCGCCTCACTTTTTAGGAATTGTTGGAGGTTAGCGGAGCATGGAGTTCATTTTTTCAAGGGGCAAACCTGGACAATATCAAATCATATATAAAGCATTGCTTAGCCGGTTCCAGCTCATAATATCATATTTTCATTCTTGAGCTACTTTCTCTATTTTCTCTCAAATCGTCATTCTCTCTCAAATAAGGAGTTTCATACTTTCTCTTTCACAAAAGATCTATATTAGATCTTCATCGAAATAGAGAGTTAGTTCTTCATATTCTTGTTGTTATATTCTGTACTTAGAGAGATTAGATCTTTACTTTCATATTGTAAATCGTTTATGTTAATATTTCTGTTTATCAAAGATATTTTCAATAAATCGCTTAAATATGTTAGTTTTATCATGGTATCAGAGCGAAAGGTACGTTCAACTTCTCCTTACTTTCTGAATCTTAAAGGCGATAATTGAATGGTTTCTTTTTTTGAAAATACCATGTGTTTACACATCTGTATTTCAAATATAACCATGATATCGGCCGATTCTTTTTACCTTGTTATTACTGCTTACTATGAAATGATCGATTGGGTTGGATCCATTGTTTTTTGGTCCCCTTTCGATATCTAGTTGTCGTTCTTGTTACTAATCTGGTCCTATTTCTAGATCTGTGTTGTTCATATCTGTTTGTTTCTCCTTTTTTTCTGTTTTGTTATGGATCTGTGTCCTCTTTCCAGATCCATTGTTATATTCCAGATATGTGTCCAAATCTCCAGATCTGATGTCACTTTATAATTGTGATAGGTGTCCTTTGTCCAGATCTTGTGATGAAATAAATAGATATAATGGTGTTCTCTGTATGATGTTTCTCTCTTATTTCGTTGTAATATGTATTCATCTTTCTGTTTCTATCATTACATATATTGATGATGTTGCTTGCGCCACTGTCTGACTCCAGATCTTCGTCTGGTTGTTCTTTCATCTGTGGTCGTTCTTCTTTGACTGTTGAGTTGAGCCAATCTTAGATCGTTTTGATCTATTGTGGTTCCTCTCTTGGCTTGTTTTTCTTTTGATATTTTGTATGGTAGAGTGCCTTTCTCCTTTGTGTCATGGTATGTGGTTTATCAGATCTGACACCTTGTTTAACTTAATAATTGTTGTCTGTTCAGGTACTTTTTGGATCCGCTCTCTGATAATTGCTCTTTTTCTTTTAACAAAAGTTAAAAGATACCAGGTGTTGGTTGTTCTTAATATTTTGTTCCTTAATCTGTTAGAAGATTATGTGGTAAGATTACTTTGGTTTGTATGCTTTATATTCTGTTGAGAACTGTCTTGTTGGCTTGACCTAGCACTTTGAAGTGTTTTAGGAATCATGCCTTTAAGCATTCCAGTTCCTTGTGTGTTTTTCTTGTTTGCCTAATGGAACCACCCCTCGCTATTGTTGGAACGTCAAGTATAATGGAATCTAGAATCGCAAAGTTAGATTTTGGAGATCCGTTATATTTGCATCCCAACGACACTAGTGGAGGCTCCATTCTGTCCTTCAAACTCAGTGGTACTGAAAATTATAAAGTGTGGTCATGTGCTATGGTGCATGCTCTTGAAACTAAAAATAAATTGGGCTTTATTGACGGCTCATGTTCTCATCCTATAAATGATCCCACTCTTCAGAAACAGTGGGATCGCTGTAACTCTGTAGTCCTTTCATGGATCTTGAGTTCCATGACTGAGGACTTGTTCCTTGGGTACTTTTTCTCTAAAATATCTTCTCAAGTTTGGGAAGAGCTGAAAGAGACCTATGACAAGGTCGATGGGTCGGTTACCTTTAATCTCTATCAGAAAATCAATTCATTAAGTCAAAACAGTATGACGGTATCTGAATATTACCATAAACTAAATTCTTTATGGAAGCAATTTGACGCTCTTGTAAAACTTCCATCATGTACATGCAATGCTTCTCATGATTTTATGGAACATAGCCAGCTCATTAAGCTCATGCAGTTTCTCATGGGTTTGGATGACATATATCAACCTAGGAGCAACATCTTAACTAGAGATCCTCTTCCTATGGTTAAAACTGCTTTCTCATTAGTTTCTAGAGAGGAGTCTCATAGGGAAGAAAATTTGAATCAAAATCGCACAAAATCTCAAAATTCTGCTTTCTTAAGTAAAAGTTTTGAAAACAGACGACGAATAGGAAAGAATTATACTAATCTTGTTTGCAAACATTGTGGTAATACTGGTCATACCATTGAACGCTGTTTTAAACTGATAGGTTTTCCAAAGGACTTTCAAAATCGA